TAATAATAATAATAATAATAATAATAATAATAATAATAATAATAATAATAATAATAATAATGATAATAAAACACTCCTTCCATTAAAATCCCCACCTGGATGATGAGGGGTTTGAGCTGGCTGGGCTCGGGCCCATTAATAATAATAATAACAATAATAACAATATTAATAATAATTGAACAACACTCCTTCCATTAAAATCCCCACCTGGATGACGAGGGGTTTGAGCTGGGGCCCATGAAATCCATTCAAAATAACTAATAACAATAATAACAATAATAACAATATTAATAATAATTAAACAACACTCCTTCCATTAACATCATCCCCACCTGGATGACGAGGGGTTTGAGCTGGGCTGGGCTCGGGCCCATTAATAATAATAATAATAATAATGATAAAATAACACTCCTTCCATTGAAATCCCCACCTGGATGACGAGTGGTTTGAGTTGGGACCCATGAAATCCAGTAAAAATAATGAATAAATGAATAAATAAATGACAATAATGAATCCCAGTGTCCCCACCTGGATGACGAGGGGTTTGAGCTGGGCTGGGCTCGGGCCCATTAATAATCATAATAATAATAATGATAATGATAATATAACACTTCTTCCATTAAAATCCCCACCTGGATGACGAGGGGTTTGAGCTGGCTGGGCTCGGGCCCATTAATAATAATAATAACAATAATAATAATAATAATGATAATATAACACTCCTTCCATTGAAATCCCCACCTGGATGACGAGGGGTTTGAGTTGGGACCCGTGAACTCCATTAAAAACCATAAATAACTAATAGCTAATACCAATAATAACAATAATAACTAATAATAACAATATTAATACTAATAAAATAACACTCCTTGCATTGAAATCCCCACCTGGATGACGAGGGGTTTGAGCTGGCTGGGCTCGGGCCCCTCCAGGATGCAGCCGAAGGCCATGACGGCGGCGTCGCGGTACCTCCAGTCGGGGTTCTTGATGTGCTCCTTGATGAAGGGCAGCACGTGGGGCACGATGTCATCCTCGCAGCACGTGGCCAGCAGCATCAGACACACCCCGGCTGCCTTGCAGGGGTTCCAGTCGTCGTCATCGTCGTTTTCGTCCTGAAAAAAACAAAAAAAAAATAAATAAATAAATAAAAAAAAAGGTTCCGTGGGGTAAAGCGGGGTGGGGAGGGTGAATGGGTGAAAAAAAAAATCA